GAGCTCCCTTGAAGAGAGCAATTCTTAAAAGTTGTTGACAACTACATCTGCTTTCTGCCGGAGCTCTAAATTTACCCTTAGGAAAGCAAGCACGAGCATGTTAAGCTCAACCATCTCAACATATAGTTTCTAAAATGAGTGAAACTAGAACGGCTCTTGATATTCTACAAGAAGTGAAATAATTAGTCCCGTTATTGATATACTAATTTTCTACTGTGAGGCACTGAAATCAGCAAGTTCAAAATATTCCCTTGATTTTTTTATTTCCTCAGAATTCTGATCATTATTTCTTCGTGCTCTCTCCAGATGGAGGTAGGCCTTTCTTCCCACAGTGAAGCTGCAAGTTAACTTGCAACAGTAAGAAAAATTTTTAGTATAAGGGAACTGCCAAAAATCCCCACAAAATAAGAAAACTCTAAGTTTTCTTGTAAGGAAAAAGTATCTGTTAAGGTCCAGGTGACATAGCTGCACACTGTACAGAAAACCAGACATTCCTACCCCAGCCTGAACAACCAAAGAAGATGGAAAACTTTCAAGTCAAAATTAAACTGCATTAATGGTTGGCAGCAAGGAAATCAGCTGCTCAACTATTTTGAGGCATTTCAGAACTGTTTTTAGAGGGGGAAAAAAAAAGCACAAAATAAAAACACACTGAATTTTGAAAACCCCATTCCTTTAAAAAGATACAAGGCATCTATTTGGGAATCTGTAGTTATACCAAGGGCACATTAAATGGCTGCACTAAGCCTCCATTAATAGTACCAAAAGCTAGAATCTGTAGTAAAAAAGTTAAGCATATACAAAAGCATCATGTTCAGAATAGAAAAATGTGTATTAAAATTGACTAATAGACAAGCTATTTGAAACCCTAACCCCCCCAAAAAAGCTCTTCTTTCTATCTGAACACAAGCTATATATTAAACAGTCTATTTTGCTTTGAAGTATATTCTGCTTTCACATTTCTGTTCTCAGAAGACTGGAGTTAACCCACCAAATATAAGAAACAGCCTTAGATATTTTTTCTTTTAAAGTCAGAACTTTCCTGCTCTGACCTGAACATGCAAGTCAGTATTCGTGGCAAATGTTCATTACTAATGCTCCTGAAATTTGTCTAGCTTTTGAACCACACAAAACAGGTATATTCTCGTACCTCCAGCATGGCAACAACAGACTCTGCTGCCAAAACAACAGACTCCTCATTGTCCTAACATCACATGCACACTCTACAAAGACATCTAACAGCCACGGGGCCTTTCTGCATCTAGCAAAAGCTCATTACTTTAGTGTACAGTACAAGTCAGACTACTAAAGACTTTTGCCTGGAAGAATAGTGAAAAGTGTTCATAAAACTCTGTATGAAATATAAAAAGAATTTGATGCTTAGAAGTACCCCAGGCAAACTGACACTTGTCAGATCTGGAGAGTCACATTTAAAAAAATGACAAATCAGCATGGGAAAAATTTCTTTAAAACACCCTAACATGAAACTAGAAGGAGATAAAAGGTCGATTTAAACTAGCTGTACGTCTTTCAACATGATCTGGAAGTAAGGAAACAGAAAACAAAAAACTGGCAGACATTTAAAGTAGAAATAACAGTGATGCTAATCCGTGAACTAGTCAGATGAAGGCTATCAAATAAATTAGCAGGTCTGTATATTGCAACTTCAACAAAAAAAAGTGGGTGAAATCAACACTAATGAATTTTCCATTTGATGGACTGGATTTTTTAAAGCCTTGGGAAGACTGTGAGATAGAAAGAAACCATGAGGAACTTCAAAAGCGGTTTAAGCAGGCTGCACACCAAATCTTCAAATTGAGAAATACACTTCCCTAACAGAACATTTCTGATACTCACTAGACATGTGCATTTTACAGAGGTTTCGCAGTCCAATCTATCCTAATTTCCAAATCACAGGTTTCAAAGAACGTAGAAAACTAACAGAAGAGCTTAGAAGTTAGTACTGAATTCAGACATGTCATATGGAAAAACAGGTAGCTGTGAAAGCACGATTGCTGGTTTCTACAAAAACACTAGACTGACTGTAGAGAACCAAAACATTTAGTGCCTTTTAAACACAGCCAAGGTCTCCACTCTAATAAATGTAAAGAAAATCGCATTTAACCTAGTCTTTGTGGTAAATCAGAGTAGCATACGAAGTTTAACATATTTGAAGTGTCTCATAAGAGAATATCTTCACAATTAAAAAGTACCTGGAAAGAAAGTACCAAATACACCATGTCTTGAAGTTCAAGGCAACCAGGATCAGGCTATGCTATACTCTGGAAGCTGTTGAAAGAAAAAGATGCAGCATTTATTCATGCTAGTTTCTTCTTAAGATCATAATGATCTTGACATCTGAGGCACACTGGAAAGTTTAGAAGTTTCAGTCTGCATGTTTGCAGACCTAAGTTGAGCAGCAGGAGTTCAACTAAAAAAAATTTAAAAATCCAAGTGTTTTTGAGACAAGTTGTTCCTATTATTTACACAGGCTCAGAAAGTCAGAAGGGAATAAATGCTGTAGTATAACTGCAGGACTTAGTTTCAAATGCAAATGCTCACTGAAAAACCCAGAGTAAAGGAGAAACATCAAAAGTCATTATGTATTTATATTACATTAACTGCTAGAATGTTTTACCGAAGACAGTGGTACTAGCAATATAAATGAGACTAATACAAGGAAAAAGTAAGTTTCTCAACAAAAAGAGAAGATATCAACTTGTTTAATTTGAAAATATTTTCTTTCAGTTAACAGAACAGAAAGATATGGCTTGATCAAGTTATTTTTAAGAAAATGAGTCCTACATATGATAATCTCCAAAGCAGAAAAATTCCTGACAGATCATTCACACTTTGGATCAGTCTACCAGGAAGAAGGAGGGGAAAAAAAAGTTCCTATCTGTCACTTTTGACAATGGTGCATTCTGCAACACTACAAAAACAAGTTCTATGTATATTTTAATGCATCCTAGACTAAGTCAACCTTAAAAGACTTACCAATCCGAAAATGAACATCTGAGATGAGGTTCTTAAAGTATTCTTTATTAATATCATTAGAAGTTGCAGAAACAACTTTCTTGTAATATAAAGGCACAGGGAGACAGTTTTGATAAAATATTCCAATCAAACAGTAACTTACAGTACAAAAGGACAATTGTAATGCACATACAAACCCCAAACATCTCATTCAAAAATATTTCACCGTGTTCATCAATAATAATGGGCAATGACTAAAAATATAAACTGTTATTGTACAATAAATATCTGATAGGTGCAAACGGAACAAGATTTATTGCTCTCCACAATGTTTTCCCTGTAGTGTTGTTGGGTTTTGTTTTTTTTTTTTAAAAGTTCCAAATTCCTTTTATAATTGGCTTTAGTAACTTATTTCTGAGGGAACTAAACCCCAAACCAAATCTGATAGGACATTCTGACAGTTACAGAACTGCCTCGCATAGTAACCAGAACTGGCAGTGTTTGTTTCTTTTACAACTTTAACAATCATACTCCACTCACTCATTGGGAAACGTGGTAGATGTTTAAAAATCAACTTTAGTGATAAGTCAAGGCTTTTATGGTAGGATAGTATTATCTAGTCTGAGTATTAATCTATTTTCTTCAAATAAGGGGATTTTATGATGAAAAATAACATGAACCTTGTCCGACAGCTTGTGCCAGAGCAAGCATGTAAAACCATTTTCAAATGAGGGGAGGGGAGAAATGAAAATTAAAAGCTGCATTGGGCATTCTAACTTCAGAAAACGAGACAAGGGATTAGGAGCAAATTAGGACTACATAGGCAAAGATGACTTAAAGTGAGAATTTTGAATTCTAAAATATCCTTAATATAGTCATCTAAGAAACCAAAAAGCACTCTACATCTTTATATGGCTCCACTTTTCGAGCTTTGAGAAAGAAGGGCCAGTCAGTGAGTTTGCCACTTTCCTCACCTTGCATTTGCAGCAATTTCATAAAGCAACAGCTTCCATCAGTCTTTTGATGCAGTATGAGAGGCATACTAACTCTGCTCTTGAAAGTAGCACATACTACCTTGCTCAGAATTCTTTTTAGCTTGTACAAAGTATTGTTTTATACACACATTTAAGAAATATTAGTTTCCTTCATTACTGTTACAAGCAGTAATATGCATATGCATACATTTCCTAAGATTATCTTTTTATGAATAAGACTTCAGGAAAATGAAGCATTATAGTAATTGTAAAAAAAAAAAAAAAAAAAGAAAGAAAGAAAGAAAAAAAGAAAAAGAGCAAGCTTTGAAGTGAGTTCTTGTAGCAGTAACTGAGGTTTTTATAAAAACTAATTTATGAGAACAACTCCAGAGTTACACAAACCTCAACAAGTCAATTTTAACGGCACAGGGAATAGTCAAACCTACTTCAAGAAAAGTTGTCTAGAGTGAATACAGCTTAATCAATTTAGCTGGTAAACCAGAAGATGAATATTCAGTAAACTCCATTACACTTGAATTGGGAATGATGTATAACAAACTGCTAATTTCTAGACATTATTATTCAAATTAGGGTTTTCTTCTAGCATAAGCACATAGTTTTAGAAGTACTTCAAAGAGTAACCAAGGACCAATGAAATTTGAATTTTGAGAATTATTAGCTTCACTACAGTATAGCATTTTTTCTTTACTATTTGTTTAGAAACTAATAAACAAAACCATTTTCTTTGGTTTATGCTTAACTGCACTGGACTAGTGAATTTTTCTTTTTAGTCAAGCTTCTATCCCCCATTTAAATTAATACAGATCTTTTAATTCTAGTCTCTCTCCAATTCTCAAATTATCTCTGTTAAAAATAAGCATTTGATCATACCATGATTTCCTGCTAAACAGTCATGTGTATATACTGGCATGAAGGGTAAAAGTTTTGTACAATAATTACATTAAGTGATATTTCCAATGGCAGAACTACAAAAGACATCAAATGAAAGTTAGTTCAAATGACATTTGAGTTTATGATGATCTTAAAAAAAAAACACCATAATGTTTAAGCATAGTAAAATACAGTGTAAAACCCCTAAAATTAGACAGTAAACATGGGAATCCTGCACTCACAGTAGGAGTGTACTGCACAGCATTAACATGAAAGCCCATTAAATTTGAAACAATGCAGACACCTAGATTTACCTGGATGTAAATGCCACTTCAAGGTGTTTAAACAAACACAAAAATGAGACAAAGATGTCAGGAGAAAGGCCTTTAAAACAGGCCATCAGTCTAACTTGACTTTCCAAGTAAGAACATCAGCTTCACAAAACTGTGACACTAATGCTGTTTTATGTGAAGTACCCTTTGACACACAAGCTGTCAATTAAGCTATCACAGTCTTTTTTGACCTGCTCCCTTTTAAATAGTTAGGGAGGAGAGTCAATAGTAGCTCAAGTTTTACTTCAGTAAGTACCTTGTCTGTTTGCAAAGGAACAATATAACACCATAAAATTATATTTTTATGGTATTTAGAAAACTGATAATCTAGGTTTGGGTTTTTTTTATTTTCTCTTTTTAATACATAAGTTCAAAACTTCATTTTCTATGTGTCTTTGCAATAGTGTTTTAGCCAGTGTTGCAAAAAAAATTCACTGTGGACTACCTCACATTGTTACTCAATTGTGCAAGGTATTCACGCAGTTCTTTTGCAGCTTGGAATCTACCATATCGCTTCTTTGGGTTGGCACACTCATCCAGCAAGGCCTCAAGTCGGCCATCTTTGGCAATTTCAGCTGGGGGGTCATGAAGTAGTCCTCCAGAAGTGCCACGCCACGTGGCATGTCTTGATAAAAGGTTCTGACAAATAGCATAGTAATTGTGGTCCACAGTGACACGAGCACAAAGAATCTCTTTTGAGAAGGACAGACAAGCTTCTTTATCACAGTCATCAAATTTGCTTTCATACCATACATCCCAGTTTTCAGGTTTATCTGTGAAATATAAGGAGACAGGAAAAAAAAAATGAGAGAGAGGAGGAAAGAGCATATATGTGTCTGAATACAAACAGAAGCTCAATACACAGCAAACTGGTAATATTTAAACTATAAACCACTTTGTTTAGATGAACTCTTAAATGTTCTAGTCTAAGACTGCATCTGACAGTTTGACATACCCTTCTGCTGAAATGGTTGTGGCAATAGAAAAATTAAAGGGAAAGAAAGAAAGCGGGTAAAATAGATAGCAAAGAGAGGGAAGCAGAAAAAACAGCACACTAAATATATGAAATCTACATTCACACACATACCCAGAGGAAAAAAAAAATGTAGCACAAACAAGTACAAGAGAATGATCTGCAGCTGAAATTGAGAGAAAAACAAGCAAGCAACATGATTTATTTTAGCAACATAGATTTGGTTTCTTCAGTTGCCCTGGGAACTAACACTGGCAAGTGGTCTACCAAAGAACAAAATAAACATTGCAAAGTAATTGCCATAAACTTCTGAAACATTATCTTCCAACATCTTATTTTAGACAGGGTAGTAACTAAGAAGCGCGTATAAAAAAGCAGATGCATTACATATAACCTCTGAAGAAAGAAAAAATTCAACAAAACAAATGGCATTTACATACATGTATAAACCCTTCTTTATATATATTTTCAAAGTTAGAATTTGAAGGTGTAACTCATGGCCTTGTCACAAAGCTTTTAACTTAAAAACTGGTTTACAGAAAATATCTTATACAATAATAATATGTAAAAGGTTACTAACTGTGAGATCTCCTGAGTTCTTACTACTTTTTCTTAGAAAACTTTCATCTTAAGTTTCTAGATTATTGCCAGCCTTGAGAAGAGGTTCTTATCATGGAGTCTCGTTGTTTTGCAGATCTTTTTTAGCACTGTGATACACGAAGAAGAATTTATCTGTGTTTGGTAGTCTCTGAGCTGACTGTTGGTCTACTTATTTATGGTGCACTGCAAGCTGGTCTAGAAAAAAAAGTGTACTGATGGGTGACTGCTAAAACTATAAAAATATGGTGTAAGATTTGTACAATGAACAGCAAACTCAAAATGGAAAAAAAGCCAGGAACAAAGGAGAATGGAAAAAAAGGACTTCAGCAAACTCAAATATGATATACCACACAGAGTATAATTAGATATTACTGTACAGTGCAATTGGACAGAATGTACGTATTCAAGTATCTAAACTGGCATATTAATCACTCTAGACACTGTTTAATGAAACTTCCCAGAAGATTAATGAAATCAGTAATAAATGTCAAGTTTATACAAAGACTGAGAACTTTCTGGTGTCCTCATTTGTTTTCTGTGTTCTCGATTAATTGTTGGATTACAAATCATGGAGCAAAATCCTAGTTAGATCCAAATTACTCTGAGAACTATAGACAACAGATGTAAGCATGGCACTTTCAGCATTCAGCTTCTGCAAGAAGCTACCTGCTCCTATTCCGTGTACACATCAATTTTTTCAGAGTTCATTTGGTCATCTTTGTGACTGTGCTCCAAAAGTCAAAATCTTAAAATAATATTACTTAAGAGGGTGGGAAAAGAAAAGAAAAAAAGAAAAAAAAAAAAGGAAAAGTTTATTTGTGTGGCCCGTAAGTACTAAAGTAAATGTGCTAGGTATCCAATACATTAAAAGGTTTTCTTGGTAGGCTCAGGTAATTTTAATCTAAGCTCCTTGAGAATGTATAATAAAACCCCACACCACCAAAAAAAAAAACCCCAAAACATACTTCATTGTAGAAAAGTGCATGGATACAAAATATAGTCTTAAAGTTAATTCAGCAGCACAGCATACTAAGTCTAGTTGCAAAAGCTTGAAAAAAAAAATCCATTCACCTAAAGCAAACTGAAATCACTTGGCCTATTGCCATGAACTTCTGCAGAATCTAGGGTTTCATGTTGAATGTCTCTAGCTCTTAGGTCTGTAAAGTTTTCCTTATAAGCTCAAAAGGAATATAAAGCCATGTAATGCCACTTTGTCAAACATCTCTCCTGCTGCCTCTGCTTTGAGCTTTTACAGTTGACAGGAAGATGAACGAATTTTCACTATTCCCATTTGGAAACAGCACTAAAATTACCCATTCCTTCTGTTCCATTATTACAGAGCACCAACCTGAACAACTAAAACAGAGGCAGGCTATGTAACTAAGGCAAAGCGGGCAGTAAGACTGCCTTGTCATTCACAGAAGATAGAATGCCAAGACTTCCGTCCTTACAGACATCTGGAAAAGACGAAAGGAACTTTTCTCTTTTAGCTAAGGTAGACAAGTCAGTCAGCCAGCCTATCTATCTGTCCATCCATCTGTACAAACCCATCCAAACCCTCTCCTCCCACCCCCACCTCTCCATTTAAGCAGGATTACAGAGATTAAAAGTATATGTAAATCAAGCTCAGGTAAACTCAACACTTTGTAAAATTGACAAATTGGTCAAGTTAATGAGTAGTCTAATTGCAGAAGAAAGCCAATTAGTTTTTTAATTAGTAGTCTCATTATAAAGGCAACCAAATGGGTATTTAGCACTACACATACTTAAATATTGTACTTGCAGAGAAAGAAGCAAGAGACATGGGGTTAGGGGAGGGGAGAGAAAGAAGACACTTACTCTGTCTGATTAACCTTTTGTCTGCTACCAGAACGTTTTCTGCATCTACAATGATAACTTTCCCATCTCTTGGTCCAACTGCGAAGTTGTCAAAGCTGACATCAAGGAGGTAGAGTGCAAATTCAAAGTCATTATTTGTCAGCTGCTCAGCTATTTCCATTAATTGCCAGGCCAGATCCACTCGTTTCTCCCATGGTGCATTAAAGTAACTCCACAGCTCTTCTCCAACGTAATTGACAGCCACCATTCTTCCACATGCTCCTAAGTACTTTGCAAACGGCCAACCCTCATCAGATGGAAAACTCTGTATATAAAAAGATTTTTTAAAATTTTCATTAATACAAAACAGCTTAGATTTAAAAAGGCTGTTCATAAAATTTAGAAGAGACACCTGTAAATACCCATCAACACTACATTTCCATATACTTCTGAGTTTTGAAGGGGAAAAAAAAACCAACACAAAATGTATTTATGTGAGCAAGAGACCCTGCTGGACTACTAAAGGGAAAGAGTTGGAGGACGTGAAATAATATACAACCCATATCTAGCTTTCCATATACTATATATATATATATGTTCACATATATATACACATGCACAATTCCATCAACTATCTTTTTCTATTATTGTTTTAGACACATTTCTTGTACTAAGGCAAGTATACTTCCTACCAAGATAATTTTGCATCTGATACTTCTAATTAAGACCAACTCTTTTAACAACCTAAAGGAAAAAGCTTTAAAAAGTGACACCTCCTTCTCTCTAACACGCCCCCCTTCCCATTTTTCCCAGTTGATTGGATTTCTTTGAGGATCCTCTCACTTGAAGATCTCTCACAGAAAGCATTACAGAACAGATTAAGGTATAAAAGAAAGCTTAGCATTTCTTCTGCCTCTAGTACTCCTTAACAATCTATCTCCTGGATTAATTAATTGCTACATACATACTCTCTCTGTTTATTACACACAGCCACATAACATTTTTATGAAAAGTAAAATCTGTCTCCAATATTAGCTTTCTTGGAAGTTAACATAAGAGCCTGAATAGCAACAACATACCACAAGCAATTAAAAACAAACAAAGAAACAAACAAAACCCCAACACACCAGCATATTTTTCCTACTTCAGTTGTGCTGAATGTGTCCTAAGACTTCAATATGAAGACAAGCATTTAAAAGGTATCCTTCATACTATGCACCAGGAAGAAACCATAAAAATATTAAATTAAAAGGCCCCAAATGCATAGAAGTTCACGCTCTTTAAGAATACAATGTACACTAATTTTAACAATTAGGAGATACCACTATATGCACATGCTTCTTCCTCAGGCACCACCTTGGTACTGTGTCACCAGAAGCAACTCATAATCAGTTCTGCCACAATGATGTAGCAAAGGTTGTACCACACTTGGGTTGAACGGCAGGGTCAGTTTCAGTCTGAATGGAAGCTTTGTACCTCCTGGAATCCATGATGGCAGAAAACATTTATGGTACATTGAGAAAAGAGATACTGGAAGGAAAACACATCATGTAGATCTGAACTACAAGACCAGTCAGGGAAGAGGTGCCCAGCACTCACCCATTTGTATATGTATCCCATTTAAAAAAAAAAAATCAGAAAAGTTAGAGCACTTACATACCTAATCACCATAGCCTTAGAACCCATACCTCCCCTACAACAATCCTTAACTTTACCTATGTCTGCGCTTCCTTTGATAACAAAGTTTTGATCATTCTATCTTAAGCACTAGGCATCAGGTGACACTAAGCCAAGGTTAGAATACTGATATTGGCCAGAAACGCTAGAAGCTCTGTAATACACAAGGAACTGCAAGCCACATCTACTTCCAAGAATTAATACTTATCCTTGAAATGCAAACAGCAAAGTTAAAGCTATATTCAATTCACACACTAAGACTTCAAATTTAGTATTAAAAAAGCCCTGAAAAAACAAAATCATTTGCTTAGATCACAATAGTCAATAATGTAAATCACCAATACGCACTCCAACCTTTACTCACAAAACTTGCTTGCATATTTCACTAGTCATTTTCTGTGTAAGCGTGCTCCCATGTCAGGAACCAAGTTTCATTAAAAAGACTACTAACAGACCTCTGACCCAAAAGGTCATTGGATCAATGAATCCTCTAGCAATATCCAAGAGGAAAATTCTTATAGTTGCCTTCTCTACCTTTTAAAAGATGCTGCTGGTAAACACACAGGAAGAAAAAGTGAAACAGGAACACTTGCTCAGCAGTGCAACAAGAGTTTTTCTTGGTTATATTGAATTTTCAGGATTTCACAATAGCTGCAGGCTTCAGGAGGTAAAAAACAAAATCCTTTGGAGAGATTTTTTCCACCTACTAAGTTATTTCACTACAAAACTGGAATCTTAGTTACAGAATTTTTAAGTACAAATGGTAGTAATGAAAAGGTTTGCTAAATCACATCAAAGCCCCTAGGAAACACAAGTGCTTCCACAGTGCAACTTCTCCCATCAATTCATAGGAATTGTAGCTGCCTTTCTTACCCATTCTGAATCATTATATGAAGTACAAAACTATACAGAGGTGACTAGGAAAAAGGAAGAGTTATTATTGAAAGTCCAGATGATACGTCCTCCACCCCCCCCCAAAAAAAAAGGTAAAGAAAAGGTTTGGGCATTCCTTTCCATTTCTATGCCACTGATACTGGAGAATATCACTCTAACATTTCCACCCTTCTTGTAGAGGCCTTTCGTACAGAGAGAGGATTCAGGATCAAAGTTTCTGCTCTGGAAGCATGCTCCTTGCCAACTTCTATGCTAAGTGACTCTGAGCCCTTCCTTGTTTTGATAATGTCAAGTAAGGATTGTTTATATATCTTATTCCAAAAATATACCTATCAAATAAGAAGGAATCAATGTACTTCTGATCACATGACAGAGGAGAACCCGAAATGCTTAATCCTCCAGCATAAGGGCAGCCTTCACTAAATTTTTATTTTCATAAAGTTAAGTACAGAAAAGCTTAAGGCAAGTATTATTACCAAAACCATAAAATACTTAATAGAAGGTAGCATCAGAGCATACAAGAAAACCATTTTAAGATTTCCATTCTGAATACAAGCCTTATGATGTTAGGACACGCTGTTTAATGTTACCTAGCTACTCTCATCAAGAAGATGAGCTTTCTAGTTTGCACAAATGAAAAATGCCCACTTTCATATTTAGTGGCTTTTGTTAAAAGGGCATGACTGAACAGTCATTAAAACACGTTTTGTTTGATAGAATTAAAGCATTTAATGAAATGTTATGAAGGCCCTAGCTGAGCCCGTATCTAAAATGAAGGCTGAGTACCAGGTTAACTTGTACCTAGCTTCCAGCAGTCCTTGCTTGGAACACTTAAGAACATCACAATTTGTTCATCTACAGTTTTAAAATTATTTAATATTTTAAACATAATTTTGAGTCAGTAAAAATACCAATTTGTTTATGTGGTAACACTATTTGATAATGGGATCCTACTGGAAGCTGAGCATCCATCCCAGACTACTCTGGCTCAAGATGTCCCCTATGGAATTTTCAAGGACTCTTCAAAGTTTCTACATAGCAAATCTTGTCTATATAGTACATGTGAAGGAATTAAAATAATAATTAATACATATATTGTTGACATATTTGACATCCTTTTTTAGATGCAAAAGGCTCTAATATGGCAAGTGTAGAAGACAATTTTCGGGGAAATAACTGTGTTTACAGTTGCAAAGAAGAACCTTTCTTTGTTGGTCAAAAGGACATCAGACCCATATTAATAACAGAATAGGTTCAAAGTTTTTGGGGTGCCTAAGTGACTGGACTTCCACTCTAGTTTGATCACCTGATCCACCCACACAGGCAAATCTGGTCACGAAAAATCCTGAGGATGATACAGAACTAATTTGATGGTTTTGAGACCACTATGGTATTTTCAAGCTGTGATACCATATAATTGAGCAGAACTAAATCTCTCTCACTAACTAAATCTACTATGCAATAAGGATGACATTATCCAGTCTTCAGGTTTTTTTATCTGTAGGCTTCAGGGCAGTTTATGAAGGTGGTAAGTATGGGCAAATATGCACTAGTTCAGGGCAAGTCAATTGATACATTCCACAGTTAAGAAGATGGCTGGGGTTTTTTTGCTTGTTTTGTGGTTAGCAAAATAACCTTCCAACAAGTTAAGTGTGTCCTAATTCAGTGTTCCTTACTTATTCTACAAACAGACCAATATAATGAAAACTCATGCCTGTGGCATCAATAAATGCCACCAAAATGAGATTTCATGCACATTTATCATTACTGTATTCAACCTTGGATCAAAACAAACCAATAAGCAAACCGCTGCTGTCCATCAAATGAAATTAGTTATTTACAAAGTAACACATAATTTCAGTCAAAAAGAAGCAAGCAGGAGTTGGTGCTAAGGCATAACCTCCAGAGAACTCTGGGCAAGCAAAAATTTTTCATTCCGGTGAGAGGGATCAGGGGGCATATGGAAAACTTCAAAATATTGCCTACCAGTATCTACCAGGAAAAAGCCATACAGCTTATTATTAGGGAAGTCTGAATGTGTGTACCTATCAGTCCTGTACCCATGCAAGTCTACTTTATCCATATCTTATAAACCCAAATTTATACTGAGGAAAATTTACCTGATTATATTTTCTGGTAAACACAGGTTTAACTAATTTCACCAACTGTGCATAACATTTTCGTATTGCTGCATTTTATCAGCACTCAATGCAACATATTCAATTGCTACACCAATAATGCCTAAATATTTTTATTTAAGTATGACTTTGGGCCACCCCACTCCTTTTCTTTTCCACCCCTCTTCTTTCCTATATTCCAGTCCTGCTCTGCTTATGCCTTTGTCTCCCTTTCCAAATACAAATTCAACTACAAACAGTTGAACCTGGCAAAGGCCATACTACCATTGGAAGCAAAGGTGTCCATCCCTCCCAGTCCATCAAGCACACTCATTTCACTCCCCTCCTTCATGTCATTAGGAAAGCAATGCAGCTGGTACTTGCTGGGCTGGTGTTCAGTTGGATCAGTAGTCTGATACAGCTTATCACATCACCACATCATGCTACTACTGACAAAAGGAAGGGAGAAGGCCTGAATAGCCAGGTGCAGAAGAGAGGGAAGGACCTAAGAAGAACTTTGCTTTCCAGCAGCAGCAAGGATTTATGTAATGGATTAAACTGATTTTGGAAGTAGAGCGTTAGTCACAATAGTACACTGATCTACACATTATGCTTCCTGCAGTGTGTACACTGAATT